CCTAACCAATATTCTATACCAACTGCAGAGAAGCTAGCATTCATATAGCTTATAAGCCCAAAAGGTTAAAAAGTACCTTGCGTACTTTAAGTAAGCAAGAATGAAATAATACTGAATCAAGCCAGAGAACATATCCACACACATTGCACTTGACCCTTCAGGTCTAGTGACATTAATCATTAAAAAAAGTGCACTCTCCCCTCCCCTTTGGGCAATTCCATCCCTTGTTAACATGTTCAAAAAAAAAAAAAAAACCATATCCACACACACCAGAAAATCCGAAGAAACAAACAGACACGAATTTCTATTATCATATATTCCTCAACTTCAAGTTACAGAAACTTGAGTTGCAACAACAAGGTTCAGGAAAACAGAAAATAAGGCAAAACAATAGAACTTTAATTTGAAGCCGATTATTTAGCTATCATTACACTGTGAACTACTAACAAAGACCCACCTAAGCCACTGGAACTGTCCTTTCGTTATAAGATGAGCCTTCCTCCTCCGCTGCTTTATCTTCGTTCTCACCTGATATTTCTTCCAATGATTTTCCTTTGGATTCAGGGACCAAGAAGGTGAACAAGAAACCCAAGGCATTGATTCCACCTAACACGAGTAGTGAATTCTTGACCCCAATACCTGCAGGATACCCTGCATCTGCCTTGGCCTTATCCTGGTTCTGAGCCAAGTACAAGAAATCGAAAGCACCTACAATAGCACCAAGCTTACCGGCTGCTGCTGATATGCCATGGCAAGTTGACCTGAACCTTGCTGGGAAAATCTCCGCTGGTACAACAAATGTGGTAGCATTAGGTTCAAAGTTTGCGAAGAAAAAAGTCAACGAGTACATTACCACAAATCTGATTCTGTTCTCCTTGTGAGTCCAGTGGTCATAAGGAATAGCGATGGCAAACATGAATACTGTCATGAAGAAGAATCCCATCAACTTGATGGCAAACCTTCCCATTTTGTCAATTAAGAAAACTGTGAACCAATAGCCTGGAACTGTACTACAGAGAGCAATAAGTGTTTGTGCCTTTGAAATGCTGAAAACTTCTTCAACGGCGTTCATGGTATTT